CTCTTTTTAGATGCTGGAAGGCTGCTATTACATCTCCCTGAAGCCTAGTCCTATCCTCTTCCTCTTCCCTTCCCCTGTCTCCTTCCTTGCTCCCCCCACCGGAGATAGGCCCCTGTGGCACTCTGCTTGTCATCGGCCTCCAGGTAGAATATGACTCATTAACTGCTACCCTCTGAGCCTGATCATTCAACCAGATTTTTACCCATCTAGTTGTCTAACATAACTTCCTAGGCTGGATACAAGAATATTACGGGAGAGGGTGCTCAAAACTCTGCCAAGGTTGAGGTAAACGGTATTCACTGCTCTCCCCTCATCCGCAAATCCAGTCATTTTATCATAGAAGGCAGTAAGGCTTCAATGAGTTTATGCTAAGATAGGTCTTTGTATGCATTTAAGCAAAATGTGCACTAAATTCTTCCCTTCCCTGTAATTCTGTTTTTCTCTGTAATACAGAAAACATTTGTACAACTTGAAGTATAAGCACTAATATTTGAATCTTCTCTGTTTTTTTTTGCTCTTCAGCTTTTTAAAACAATAACGCTATCTCTAAAAATGTTTCTCACATTCATCTAGAAATGCTATATGAATGCTTAGTAGTCCAGTTTCAAATCTGCGCATAGCCAGCTGTCACAAGATCAGGGAATCCAGTATAACTTCAGTGCATGCTGCGGAGTCATGTCCATTGCTAGATCTAAATTGACTTGATAGTTTATAAGAGATGTAGTTATCATCAGATCTGGGAATAAATCCTTTGTTGCTTTCATCTTGAATCATACCACTTATTTGGTACTAGTTGGCTTCCATAGATAGTGGATATTGAGTCCCACCGATGAGTAAGCTGAAAAGTTGAAAACAATGACTAAACAAGCTGAAAACATTCTCTGTTGGGAAAGTCTGTAACATTTCTCCAGAAGACCTGCAAAGTTTTGTAGCATATTCGTTTGATTTTTATTTCTTTCTCTTTCCTGCTATTCCTGGAAGAAACTGGTAGTCAGCTATAACTGAAAATTACTATCTGGTGAGCTGGACTAAAAATAATCAGACTCATAAGTGTTTTTCCGACCTCTAACCTAATAAATTGAGTGTGAGTATAGATTTAATAGGCAGTAAGAGCATAAAACTGTAAAACAGTCACCAGCCTAGACTTCTATCAAAGTCCAAATGTTCACCTCCTAAATTACTTCTTTTGATTTAATTGAAAGTCATTTTTTAAAATTTTGGCATAAAACCATCTACAGTTTTATAAAAAAAAGAGACAGAAGATTAAATTTAGCTTAGATGAAATTTAGCTTAGAATTCACCTTTTATTTTAGTAGGATAAATGTCCCGTATTCCAACTGTGCGTTAAATTTTTTAGCTTTCTTCATAAGTTCCTGGGTAATAGCCATGACTTCTTGCATAAATCTCTGATTAAGACTGCATAAATCATGAAGTGCTTCCTAGAGTACTTTTAAGACTGGAATGCCTAGTAATAAAATCTCTTCAATTTATATATAGCACTAATCATCCCCCAGAAACAAAAATGCTGTAAAAACTGTGCACTCAGTCTTCTATTCCAGACTGATGCTAATAGTAATGCAGTCCAGATCTGTAGGTCAAAGGTTACTTTTATAGCTCCCTAATGCTAAAGCTACTAAACTCTTAGGCTATGCCTAAGCTAGTAATTTAAACAATGCCCAAGGAACATTCTTACACACTGCAATGTGACTGTATTTTGTTGAACTGCTAAAATGATCTCTCCTCCCCATATTTTTTGGCCCATGCCTAGAAGTGTCCAAAATTATTTTTGGGCATGAGCTGAGAATAATAATGTTTGGGGGCCTTTCCCTCTTTTAACAGATAGTTTGCTTGCAGCCCCTCTTTTGGAGACCTAGGGACTACTAGAATAGCTGCAATCATTCTGTGCCAGTTGGCCTCAATTATCAGGAACATTTCCCTGGCGCATTTAATTTACTGGTATAGATGAAGCCTCTGACTATACTTAGCATCAGGTGCAATAGCCCCCACGGTGATTCAGATGTGTAGGGA